CCTCGAATTGGATATATCGGTGGTCGGAAAAGGAGTGCTCCTCAAGCACCTTCCACTTCCCGACCAGACATTCCGCATTCTCAGAGATAATGGTAACGTCCAGAACTTCCCTTCGGGATTTTGTAATAAAAGTGGGATCATTCCCCCTAAATGCAATAACAAGCTTAGAACTAAGTATGAAATTAAAAAGTGACTCACCCCGTTCGTTATCATCGGAGCTGCCCCAGGTGTGATGGTGAGCATTCGCGTCACCTCCCAAAATTAGCGCCTCTCTCGTGCTGGCCACTAGGTCTTTAATGCAGATAGTTGGCACCTCCTTGTCGTGCGCTAGGTACATGGATGCCATCTTAATTGGTCGTCCGTTTAACTTAGACTGACCGCTGTTGTGTCCTCGTCGCTAAATTGTGGAAGAAAGAGACACTTTAGTGTGATACTTATCAATATGCACGTCCTTGGTTTCCCCGTTGAGGCTCCACTTACCAGTCTGTAGCCCGGCGCTTTCAGCCCACAAATGTTTTGTCCCACCACCCAAGGTTCTTGGATTAGGACGATGTCGGCTGCCCCTTTAGCTGTTAGATGGAGCAGCAGTGCAGCTGAAGCTGCTTTACAGTGGTGAAGGTTAATCTGCAGTACCTTCACCATCTTGGCCGTTACCGCCCACGTCGCCTATTAGGGTGGAGTTGACCGCGTCTTCCGACATCTCGATCAACTCCTCCTCCGTATAAAGCCGAAGCATGCGTCCGACCCCCATGGAAAACGTCGATGAGGCATAACCCCCGGTCAGGTCGTCCATCGGATCAACCTTCTCGGATTCTTCCTCCATCTCCACGTCGCTGTTGGCCTCTTCCGGCTCTACCTCCGCGATCAGGTTCTTCGCTGCGTTTACGTCGTTGCTGTAGACCTTAATTTTGGCCATGTCACAGCCGTAACGTATGACCCCGCTCTTTTGCTCCAACAACTCTATGGAGTCCTTATTTAGAAGCAGGACAACCTGCATCGTCGCTTTACCGCTTTCGTTAATTTTTACCACCTTCCAATTTTCGGTAGGTAGCTCCGGGTTATAGAGCCTTATGGTTTGCAGGATCCTTTTTGGCTCCGCTGGCCTGCAAGGCAACCATGCTCTCGCTCTCGGTCGCACCGGTAGGTCCTTGAAGTCGACCGCCTTGAGCTTCGCACCAGGGTAGACTTCTCCAATACCTGCGACTGTTTTCTTATAGATCTCCGCTGATCTAGCATCCTCGCATGCTATAACGCGGATGTTATTTTGGAACCACCCCGCTCCCTTGCAGGTTGGCGGAGGTCCCGGATTCTCCAACATAATGTTGATAGCAATGTCGGCCATCGCGGCCTTAACCCACTTCCATTGCTGCCTCAGGGTGAGGCTGTCTTCATTGCTCTCATCAATGACGCCGAGCAGGATCTGCTCCTTGGCTACTTCAAAAGCAAAAGAAGGCCCCTGCGTTCTGACCCTCTTTGCATGGTTGGGCGTATTTTCCCCCGATCTATTGCGCTTACTGGAGGGCGCCTGCGGCTGCTTCTCCTCCGGCTTGCGGTAGTCGGGCAGGACTGCCTTTGCGCAGTCGATTTCTGTGAGGATCTCCTTCACATGCGGTGAACCTTTGCAGGATTCGAGCAGCCAGCTTCCTCTGTCGATAGCCCGCTGCAGCTGGTTCTGGCCTCTGGTCAGGCCTCGTGAAGGCCATGGGTGTCGCGGGAGGACCGCCCGGGGCCTGCGCCCCAGATTCAGCCTTATCCCCGGCTGCAATCTGCATGCCAGGTTGGCATCCACTGGTGCCAGGAGTTTCCCGGGGTGGACTCCTTTGAGCATCCCCACCGCCACTTTCCTTCGTTTTTGCGAAAGCTTGGCCCGGTTTCACCATTGGCCTTGTTTTCCCGCTATTTGTCACCGCACTACGGCTGGTGGAGGTACTCTGCATCGCTTGAGCTCCTTGTTTAGTGGGCCGAGACCCTTCCGACGCTTTAAGGGGGCCGGTCCCTTTATAATTTGTTTTTGATGTTGTTGTTGCTGTTGTTGTTATTTGTTTTCTGTCCATATTTGATCCCACGGGCTGCGGAGAAAGGGGTTCGTCCACCCGGGCAGAGATCCGCGATGCCCAGGTAAGGCCTACTTACATCCTGGGTGTGGCCGCCTCCCAGAGGGCTCCGTTCGCGATTGGGCTATTTAGGGGCCCCCAGCCTGGCCGATCCTCGGTGCGGTGCGCGTGACGCCTTGATCCAGCCCCTTCAGACCTCCAAGCCACGATCAGAAACCATTTCCATATGACTACGCTACTAAGGAGTTTAGCACATAGCACTGATTCCTGATCTTAGCTGAGCACCATTCTGACATCGCACAGAATCCTCTGTAGTGCCCATTTCCAGTCAACACCCTCGTGGAGGGTTCAGCCGGAGGATTTTTGCAGACCTAACTCACAATAAGTTGAGTGGGGTTTCGTCAAGACTTTCACGAACTTAGCTTCCGCGGAACCGTGGCATGAGTTCCATGAGAAGAGTTAGGTGTGGTGAGTTGAGGCGAGTTGCGTTACGATGAGTTTAGGTAAGTTAAGGTGAGTTGAGGTGAGGTGAGTTAAGGTGTGGTGAGTTGAGTTTAGGTGAAATGAGGCGTTTTGAGTTTTACGATCTGCAAAAAAAAATAAAAAATAAAACTCAAAAGTTAATTTTTACGCTCAAGAAATGAGTTTTATTTTCGATCAAAATAATAAAACTCAAAAAATAATCATTATTTTTGCTGATAGAAATAAAACTCAAAAAATTATGATTATTTCTGATCAAAACTATAAAACTCATAATATAATGATTATTATTGATCAAAAAGAAAACAACTTACAAAATAATTATTACTTCAGAGCAAAAAAATAACGCTCGAAAAATTAGTTTTATTTTTGATCAAAAAAATATAAATCAATAAATGATTGTATTTTCTGAGCAATACAATAAAACTCAAAATGTGATTATTATGATTGATCGCAAGTATTAAAATCTCAAAATAATGATTAAAAGTTAATTTTTTTGATAAAACTCATATTGATTACGGTCCCTGATTTAAATAATTAACTTTTTACTGCATATGTTTTTTTTACGAGGAGGAAGCATCGAAAGCCTAATCCCGTCAGTGTGAGATTTTAACCCAAACTCAACCTCCTACCGTCATGTGTGGTACCACCTTCAGGATTTCGTCAGGATAATAACACTGTGTGACTGATAAAGTTATAGATTTATTGAAGCACAAAAAATTTGCATACTTAGAATTTTGAATACCCCCTCACAATCTGGACTTAAGGTATAAAAACGTGTTTTTCGTAGTTTAAGCCTTATAATTGTTCGTAACTTAATTTCTGTTTATCCGATGAAAAATATATACAGTGTGTACATGGTAACCGCAACCCTCAATACGTGCAATCCCTTGATTAATGCAAGTCTCTAAAACAAAACATTGTAACCTTTATAAGTGCAACTTCAAAACAATGTTACCTCAATACTCACAAACTTTCTATGTTTATGCATGTCACGCACACAAAATTTGAATTTTTTATATTTCTTTGATTAACCAGTGTTCTGGAAAAACTACAAAGTGGTGTTTTAGTTAAAGTGATGTGTAATGAGCAGGACAGAAGAAAATAAGCAGGAAAAAAGCAAATTTAAGCGCTTAGATAAACATTAAAACATTAGTAAATATGCTTCCGTATATGCTCGAAAAACAACCTTTTAAGTACCGTTTAATGCTTTGTTTTTTATTCAGTTTATTTCAAGGATTGGACGGAATTCGAAATTTTCATATTTCCAGTAGTGTTAATGCATCGATTTAGTTGTTACTTTTTTATTATTACTAAAAATAATGCGGATTGTATTACAGTAATATATGAATCTTTAATTTCATTTCAAGACTGAATATAATTATTTTAAAATATTTGTTATCCTCCATTTGAGTTGATTATTTTTAATCTCTTCAATAACACCAATGCTTTCCCGTAGAGACAAACCTTTGGTTTTAAATCTTTGTATCTAAGCAGAACTGGAATTGAAGTTACAAGTTAAAATAAAACCAAATCGGTTTTTATGTTATTACTAGAAGTCCTTGCGAACTTCGTCCCGCCCAAAATTAATTTTTTATTTAAACATTTGGTCCAACGTTTTTACTAACAATCACGTTCACGTTTGGTTTTGTGGTCGTCAGGAGGCATATCCTCCATTGCCGTCTTGAATAACCTAATGAAAGCGTTATGTCCGTGAAAAAGTTCTTGTGGCAACAATTATCTGGTCCGGTGGTGAATCGTCCTTGAATCTGTATAGTACAATTTGTGGCAATTTCAAAATGGGGGAGTATCATTAGTCCACAGAAATCCAATATATATAGACTTATTTCAGACGAAATATCTTAGAAGTCTTACTATTGTATTTCTAGGCCTTTATCAAGAATTGTCTTTTTTCTGTTTAGGTGGTAATTTAACTTTGATCCTTGGTGTCTCCGATTGACTTCACTTGACCATTTTTACCAATAACTCGACTCCAGCGCCACCTTGCAGCTCTTTTTGTGCAATAGTTGATATTGCCCCAACCGATACCAATATATTTATATCTCGCATATGAGCCAAAACGGACAATGAGACAAATCGGCCACGCTTACCTCGCATTTCATGGATGGCGGTGATGCCAGTCTTTATTGTCCCGAAGACATCAACCAACCGGGCACAGGCACCATCCCTATTAAGGGTCCGGATATTCGAGGTGCCTACCCTTAAATCATAGTCCTTTCTACGTTTGCCGTGATCGTCATCAAAAGAAGGGGGTATCATCCGAGGCATGGTTTTTTCATTGGGCAGGGTTTTAACGTGCAGGGACCTAAACCCAGCGCACTCAGGGATATACGTCTTGTCACATTTGCTCACTCCCAAAAGGGTGTTTGGTCGCTAGCCAGGGGATACGTGAATATAAATATCCGGACGAATTGAGCTGCGATTTGAACCGTAAGCAAACAATTAACTTGTGGGCACTCCCAAGTGAATAGCAAAAGCTTTGCAGTACTGGGAAGTTTACTGAACATAGTGGTCAAAGGCCAATATCTCAACTAAAACCTAATGGTATTTTAAATCCATAGCTGTACATACCTGTATACCAAAGGCGAGACGTTATTCTAAATAATAAATAATAATAATAAAAAATATGGGGGTAACGAGTTGCAAGTGTGGGTCTACGAAAATTTATCCGGTATCGATAGTAAAGAACCAAAATGGTTGCTTGATAGCCTATTTATTTAACTTTAATGTATAGTGCTCTTGACGCAATGGTGAACTTACCCTCAATTTGTGTCATCATCATCATCAAACTAGTTCGCAAATGCAGTCTCGAATAAATTATGTTGGTAATGATAACGAGTTTGCTTTACTCTGGATGCCGGCCAACTCGGGAGTGCCTGGATATTAGACATTTGACCCTTTGGCCACAGTTGGCTTAGACCAGGTATTCCTCGAACTGCAACCAGCAGCACTTCTCACTTCGACCATCGAAACCACCATCAGAAACTGGGTGGACACTTCGATCAGCAATGATTGGGAGCCATAGAGTGGATGCAGGTGGACAAAACTCATGTTACCTTCAATCTCAGAAGGTCTATCTAGTTTTTTTCTTTTATTAAAAAGACGGGACTGCTGACTGGTCACTTCACGTGGCACAAATACCTGGCTGTGACAGGCGTAAATGACAACTCCATTTGCCCATCCTGCTTTGAAGAGGATGAGACGGTGGAACACTTCTTGAGCTTCGATTCGATGTTTTGTTTTTTGTCAGTTTCTGAATTTGAAGTTTGGCGTAAAAAGCTTTGCAGTTTTGTTGTTTCTAGTTTTGTGTTTTAAAAATGCGGATGACGAATATTTTTCGCATCACTCTAAAACTCGGAGCGATAAAAATAAAAATGATGCCATCAACACAAATAAACTATTTAACAAATACATCACATGCGAATTCACGAGCGAGACGAACATGTGAGGAGTTTATTTATTGCTCTTAAAAAATACAACTCCTCAAAGCGAGATAGTTCTTTCATGGCTTTTTAAAACTTGTAAGTATGTAATCACATTATTTTAATAAATAGAACACAAGAAAATATTTTATTTTTATTTTTGCACTCCGAATTTAGTTTTTGAACTCACCCGCGATGCAAATTTGCATCGTTAGATTTAATCTTCGCATCTTTTGATGACCTTTGAGAATATGTTATAAATTAGCATCAGATGGTCCACCGAAACCAGTAAAGTTTTGAAAGAAGTCTACGAGAAAAATAAGTTTGGGAATCTCTGGTATACTATGTAATATACCTCTGCAATTTTGTAAGATAAACTAAAAATGTATACATCGTTTTAAGCTGTAATTACTTAAGAAGTAAACGTCTGTTTCTCAAACCGGTCTGTAGTTTTATCAATAATCTCAGATTGGTTCTCTCATACAAACTTTCGATGTACATTTATAAGACAGAAACGTAAAGACAAAGTAATAAACAGTAGAACCATAAATTTAATTATTAGTTTACCGTTCAATCCATTTTCGCTCATTGTCGACTACGGCCAGGTTTTTACCCTTCTTAATTGGAATTACTTTGAAGTTAGCGAGAATAACTTGAAACAGAACCAGATAATCCACATATTCACATTTTTAATTATGAAAATTTACAAATCATTTGTTAGCATTGAGTGTATGATTTTATGTATAGTATATTTATACATAGGAAAAAACTTGAAAGTTAGGGGGGCCCAAATTATCGAGATAGCATTTCCTGGTAATATTTTTTAATATATAGGGAAAATTTTGGGACTTGGAGGGAGGAGGGCTCAGGCCCCTTCCCTACCTGGCTTCGCTCACGAGTATGTATCACTTAAGGCTGGACGTTCAATTGAGTCATCAAGCGAAATCAGCTTATTGAATCCGTTTTTAGACTCCGTTGGAATGATTCGTGTTGGAGGACGCCTTCAAAACTCAAATTTGAGTTTAAATGCCAGACATCTGATCATACTACCCAGATACCATCCGCTTACGAGAAGTACAATTGAGTACTATCATCGCAAACTATTGCAGGCCGGACCCCAAGCGTTACTTGCAACCATTTGTCTACAATATTGGCCTATTGGAGGGAGAAAGGCTGTAGCTCACGTACTTAACAAATGTATTCAGTGCTTTCCCGCAAAACCAAAGTTATGGCAGAATATCGTGGGTGAATTGCCTGCAGAGCCTGTTCAGATGCAACGTCCCTTCCACACTATTGGCGTCGACTTCTGCTGCTCTTTTTGCTATAAGCCTGATATGCGGAATAGGCGACTTGTATAATGCTATATCTGCATATTCATTTGCTTTTCAACCAATGGTTGTCATTTGGAACTGGTTAAGGATCTAACAACGACCTCGTTCCTTGCAGCCCTTAAGCGATTTGTCAGCTTGCGCGGCAATCAAAGAGTTATCTGGTCAGACAACGCTACCAACATCGTTGGAGGTAAAAACGCATTAAAAGAAATATGCGCACTTCTGCTTAATGAGTATCATGTCAACGCAGTGCAAAATGCCTTGATCACGGAATCGATTGGCACTTTATTACATTTCGGTCCC